TAAGATGGCGGTGGGTACATGAGGCCAACCATGATGTCTTTGAAGTGATCTGAAAGCTTCTCCTTCAGGTCACCAATTAGGTCCTATGGATGGAAAAGTAAATACTTTTATTACATTAGTTACCAATTTTACAAGAGAAATGAGATAATTACAGAAAGTCATCTACTAGGACTTCCTTTTCTATGTTCATTTCATGTAGTAAAAAGCCTGGTTTTGATGCACATATATGCACACACATGCACATACAAATATGCACATACATGGATAATAGGAACGATGGACTTGAGGGTTTGGAAATGACTGATGTAATCACATCTCTGCATGAGAGGTCATCTACATGGACATTCTAGTCATGTAAATATAAAATGATCTTCTTTCCCCAATTCCAACACCAACTTCTCTGTTGATCTCATTATGAAAATAAGTAAATATTGAAACCTGAAAACATTGTGGTTGGGAGTTCTTAGTTTTCTTGTGTGGAATTAATGAAACATTAGACCTTAAATAAAATATGCATTTTATTTTATCATTGCTGCAGTGTCTTTTAGCAGGAGTTTCTGGTTATCCTATTGCCAAAAAGCTTGTGTAAATGAATTGAGTAATCTAAGAGCTTTCATCAAATAGCCACATTAATACATATATTTTTTAAATAGTGAAAGTTAAACACTTAAGGAGAAAAACAAACATGCTGAATGTTTGTTCTTGGAATACATATTACAAAAGTATGAAATTGATCATTTTAATTTTGACTTTTATTTTATTAGTGTAGAACGGATATTTAAAAAACATATGTTAGGGGTGCCTCAGTGGCTCAGTCAGTTATGCATCTGCCTTTGGCTCAGGTCATGATCTTGGGGTCCTGGGATGAAGCCTGGGTTGGATCCTCAAATCAGGCTCCCTACTCAGTGGGGGAGCTACTTCTCCCTCTCCCTCTACCCCTCTCCCTCTCCATCTGCCCCCTCCCTGCTCATGCTCTCTCTCTCAAATAAATAAAATCTTTAAAAAATATATGTTAGATGTATTTTTTGTAAGGTTACAAAGATATCTGAAAGATGTTTAAAACTTAACATTTCCTGCTAAAATATATAGAGTATATTCAGTTTTACTTTAAAAATATGCAATATTTTAGTTCGGAGGTGATTCAATAATAGAATTCAAGTTAAAGATACCAATGAGGCATAATAAGCTCTATTGGAATAAAAAAAATGAAACAGTCATTATTTTTATTTTATTTACTATAATCTGACAACACCATTCCTGTATTTCTTTTTAGCAAATAAAAGCACTTATCCATAAGGTGGTAACTGGTAATACAGAGAATCTGTTGAATTTTTGCTAGGGTCAGTACAATTCATTTAATGAGCAATTAATACATGTCTAGAGTTGTGTCAGGTGCTTGGAGCATATACCAGCAGCATAAGATCCCCTCTTCCATAGAACTTATATTGTATTTAATTCCCTCCTTATGCACCATTGACTATTTCTAAATTCTTTACCAAATGGTTGTTAAAGTGATATGAGCCAGGCACTCTTCTAGGTACTGGGGCTATATCAATGAGTAAAACATATATATCATATATATACATATGAGCCTGTGAGACATATTCTTATGCATTCTCATGCAGGAGCATACCAATTTTTTTGAATGAAAGATTGCAGTTATTCAATACTGTTTGATTTAATACTGTTTCCAAGACACAGTGGTAGGTGCTGGAGAAATGCAACAGAGTCTCTGTTTTCAAGGAGATTCACATTCGACAAACCCAGAGATAACAAGTAAAAATGTGAGTTAATACACTTTCTAAGGCTTTCAAATGTCATTTTTAACAGCATAAGATCCTAAAGTAGTAGTACAAAATGGTTAGAAGAATTCAGATAAAAGATCAGAATAGATTTATAGGATTAGGGAACCAGGTCATTTTTAGACCAGAGAGGACAAGTAACACTGTGACAGGAGATGAAGAAGCCATTTGTATGGTTAATTTTATGTGTCAGCCTGGTTGGGTCACAGTACCCAGATATCAGGTCACACATGATTCTAGATGTTTTTGTGAAGGTGTTTTGTAGATGAGATTAACATTTACATCAATAGGCTTTGAATAAAGCATTATTCTCCAAAATATGGGTGGCCCTCAGCCAGTCAGTTAACAGCTTTAATAGAAAAGGCTAACCTCCCTTGAAGAAGAGAGAATTCTGCCAAGAGACCACCCTTGGAATTCAATTGACGCTCTTCCCTGAGACTCCAGCTTGCAGGCCTACCTATGGATTTCTGAGTTTGCCAGTCACCATGACCACATGAGCTAATTCCTGAAAATCTCTCTCTCTCTCTCTCTCTCTCTCTCTCTAGCTAGACAGAGATAGATCCTGTCACTCTCCTTGAACTGTTTTCCATTGCTCTTACAGGAAATTTTGAGCCCCTTATTATGCCTTGCTATAAGGTCTTACATGATTTGGAAAGGGAGAGAGCAAGTGAGGGAGAGGGATTGAGGGAGAGAGAGAGAGATTTTTTTTTCCCTTTTATTTGCTATGTAGGAGGAGTAGGTGTGGGTCTGGATGGCAGGGCAGGGCCAGGATGGGCTGGGATGTGCCAAGCGTCAGAGGTGGGTCAGAGGACGCCTGAACCAGGCCTGCGGGCTGCGCAGGTGAACAACTCTCCCCAGATGGAGCCCCAACTCGCGGGATCTCGGAGCTCCTCCACCCGAGACCAGCGCCGGCAGGGGATTCCTGTGATGAGAAACACCTGCGTGCTGCAGGTGCCAGAGACCCCCTTCCCAGGCTCGTCCGTAAGGAGTCTGGCTCACGCCACCTATCAAGCAGATGTGCACATATAGTCATATTATGTTGGTTCTGTTTCTCTGGAGAACCCTGACTAATCCACATTCGAAAAGGTAAGTCAGTAAAAGAGAAGTGCGCAGCTGGGGGTAGTCCTTGTGTCTCCGTATGTGTGTTTTCATATGCGGTGTGTCTAAGTCAATCTGAAGGGACTGAAAGATCCACTTGAGGAGGAGATGAGTATTAAATTAGACTTATAGCACAGAATTATGTGATGACTGGATCTTTGCTCCTGTGGGAACTCAGGAAGCAGGGCAGCTTTTGGTGACAAAGGAACTCTAAACCTATGTTCCTTTAATTCACCAAATAATTATGCTTCTTAAAATGATGATTTTTTAAAAAGATTTATTTATTTGAGAGAGAGAGAACTCATGAGCAGGGGGAGGGGTGGAGGGAGAGGGAGAGGGAGAAGCAGGCTCCCCGTTGAGCAGAGAGCCCGATGTGGGGTTCCATCCCCTGAGGTCATGACCTAAGGTGAAGGCAGAGGCTAAACCGACTGAGCCATAGAGGTGCCCCAAAAGTGATGATTTTTTTCTGAATATGCATTATCAAGAGAGATAATCTTGATTAATATTACTATTTTAACTTTAATTTCTACTCCTTAAAATTTTTCAATGTAGTATCTTTTGTGTAAAAAACAAAACAAAACAACAACAAAATACCAAACCTGTGCCCTTGGAATTATTTCCACAAATAATTTCCCATTATTTAGTTGTTTTAAACATCTAGGATACAATGCTTACTTTTTTTCTTAATGGTCTCTCTCAGGTAAAATTTTAAGAAAATACTTTTTTAAAAGGACTCATATTCATGTGGGACTCTATCAAAGTCTGCAATAGATCTCTACCTTTTATTAAAAAATTACAAAGTAATTTTAATCTCCCTTACTCTTCCTCCTCTCTAAGTCAAATTCTACCTTGCATAGGTGTTTTGAGGGTGAAGTCGAGTAGGTGTGGTACTTGGCTCTTGACAACCTACACTCAAACTTCAACTTTGTCCTTAGGATCATGCTTTCTGTCTTAGACATGGAAATAGAAGATTAACTCCCCAGCTATGCTGTCCTGACTGGGCTTTCTTTGCTTTCTCAATCCTCTGCCCATTCACTCTTTCCCATGCCCACCTGTAGCTCCTTGAGATGTTTCCTTCAATATGGCTTGTAATGTGCCTCTTTGTGACTTTGTTCTCTCACTACAACACAATTAACTTCAAAACGAAGGATAAAACTATATCTGGAGAATCCCAGATATTTGGAAGTTAAAAAACATATTTCTGCATGATCCAAGGATAAAATTATAAATCACAAGGAAGTTAGAAAATACTTTCAGTTTACTGAAGGTAAAAATGCAACATGTTAAAATTTGTGGGATGCAGCTAAGACAGTGTCTGAAGATAAATTTTTAGCTTAAGAAAAACATATGAAATAAATAACCTAAGGTTCCACATCAAAAAAACTGGAAAGAAAATTAAATTCAGAATAAGAAGGAAGAAAATAATAACAGGATCAGAAACCAATAAAACAGAAAATTGATAAATACTAGAAACTGTCAATAAAGTAAAAATCTGATTCTCTAAAAAGATCAGTAATGTTAATAAAATTCTAATTAGATTGATCAAGAAAAAAAGAGAGAAAATACAAAATATCAATATTGGGAATGTAAGAGTGGCATGTACAAATACCACAGACATTAAAGGAAGAAGTATTATGAACACATTAATGCCACTAAGTTTTAAAATTTATTTGTAATGGGCCAATTTCTTGAAAGATAGAAATTATCAAAGAAAACTCAAGCAGAATTTTACACTCAATCTGAATTTCCTTATATTAAAGAAACTGAATTCCTAATTAACACTACCTTGCCCATCTCTAGACCCCAGTGGAATCACTGATAAAATCCATCAAACATTTAAGGTAGAAATAAAGTCAACTCTATACAAAATCTTATAGAAAACTGTAGATGAAAGGGGAGACTGGGTGGCTCAGTCGTTAGGCGTCTGCCTTCGGCTCAGGTTGGGATCGAGCCCCGCATCCGCATCGGGCTCCCTGCTCCGTGGGAAGCCTGCTTCTCCCTCTCCCACTCCCCCTGCTTGTGTTCCCTCTCTTGCTGTGTCTCTCTCTGTCAAATAAATAAATAAAATCTTTAAAAAAAAACTGTAGATGAAAGATGACTTCTCAATCTATTTTATGTGGCCAGTATCGCCCTAATAACAAAATCAAAAAAAAACTTCACATGCAAAGAAAATTGCACATTGA